TTTTATTATTATTATTAATTTTATAATTATTATTTTATCCATTTTTATGTTATTATTATAATTTTATCTATTTTTATGATCAACAACTCAAAACTGTTCGACTATACTCATATCACGTACACTTTTCCGTTATATTGTTGTAGCTGTATTTCGTTTTCGGTTACTATAATTTAAAATCAGTTTGGTAACCTGTGACGTTCATAGACCCTTGATGAAGGTGTAAGCCGAAATGTCGGGTACAAGTAATTAAACATTTTTCTGAAGTTGTTTATCATCTTCATTAAATAATCTATTAATCTAAATTACATTTATATTGATTCATATTATGAAACCAACCAAGTAACTGAAATTTTTGTTTCTGATAATTCCAACAACTGATTAATTGACCATCGTTAATTAAATCAGTTAATCGAAATTAGACTTTCCAATTATTACACCTTTCAGTTATTCCAACAACTGACTAATTGAAATTGTGATTACATTGACTGTCATGAAAATATTCAACTAATCAAATTTCTGATTATTTCAGCTATCCAAGTAACTGAAATATTGCTATTACATTTGTTCATTGTAAAGCAAAGTACAAAGCTACATAATGTGCCATCTGTGCTCTGCTCACTGCAGGTATCAAAACCCCATTTTAGCTTTAGAAATTGCTCAGCTTTGGGTCAGCATGGATATATCCATAGGAAGGCCAAGAACTAATCCTGAATGATCTGGATAGCAAAGAAAATGATGATTTAAAGATTAGATTAAATAGATGAGACAAAGAACTAAGAGAAAGAGCAGAGCAAGAAAGAAGATATATGATATGAAGAAAAGGCTTTGGGATCAAATAATCCAGAAACATCAGTAAAAACATGATGATGAAAAATGGTGTGAAATGTAACCCTCTAATGAAAAGGTGGTGCCAAAGATACTTTGTTCAATGTAATCTACTAACTATGGAAGAGTGCAAAATTGTTCATAAAATAAAAGCTATACTGAAAAACAGGTATAAAGCAGATAAATGATATCCAGATTCCACCCATTTGGAATCAACTGGTTCAAAATAATCTCGAATGCAAATCATCATGCGACAACCCTCCACCAATAAGAGCGACACACTCTCCTGATGCATGTGACTCCCTCTATTCAATTCTACTGAATTATCACTTCGAGTTTTGGCAGAAAATGGAATCACCGATTTTCAGTGAGGAGGAAGGGTGGGAAGTGCGAAAGGAGGTAAGTATCTATTGGAAATATATTTTCAGTATAAGAAAATTATAACTTCCAATACGGTAAATTACCTCTTCTCACATAAATAGCTAGGATCCCACCTTCAATAGTTGGAGGGACTGGTGCAAGAGAAAGAAAGAAACATCCTTCAAAAGCCTCTGAAGGACACCCTAAAAGAGTAGATCCTCACAGTAGAGGATCATAAATGGAAGACTGTACCAGGTATACTCCTCGCCCATTGTAGAAAGATGTCGCAGATATGGGAAGAAATATGGAGGAGCACATCCAATAGGGAGAGAACTATGGCTGATTAGGATTACAAACCATATGGTATATGAATCTCAATCCCAAAAAACATAAATGTGGGTGAGAGTAAAAAGGATGTACCCCCAGGTGTAAAGTGGCTAGCGCACAATGGACCATACATGGCAAGTCAACTACCTCCAAAACCCAGGCTGTTGGGAACTGTCATCCACATGGAGGTAGAATGAGGGTCATACAATTATTGAGGCAACTACAATCCCAAACCCAGCCACCAGGAACCGACAACCATGTGGGAGTAGGAAAGATGATTATACCACTGACAAGTCAACTACAATCCACAACCCAGCCATCTGATGGGGGTAGGAAAGAGGATCATACAATCTTCACCTCAAGTTCATCAGACTGGTAGGAATCTTGTATCCCCTAGTCTAAGAATGGGACACATGATAGCAATGTGAGAAATCAATCGACTGATCCAGAAACCTGACTTCTGATATCGTAAAGATGTCTTTGTAATGTAAACCATCTCATCAGAAACAAACTGACAATAACAACCCCTAGCACAATAACATCTTCGGTATAATAAAATTATCAAGGGATAGTGTAAGAACAAGAACTATATTAATCTGCAAGTACCTCCATCATGACCCACAACACAGATGAAGGAACAAGAGTATAACTGACTGAAGAGAGACACCTGTAATACATGTGTGAGGACTTATGTGGACTGGTTCAGCTCTAAATCCAAACCCAGCCACTTGGAACCCACATTCACATGGGTGAAGGATGAAGGATCCCAATACAAGGGGTGAACTGCAATTTTGACAGCTCACTTCAATTACACATAGTGGAGGGCACATAATCATCTAACCCGCGGAACGCCACTGCCCTACTCTCAAATGAATGGTTTTATCATTATATGTATATTTTATCATTATCACATTCAGGAGGATGCCTCCATGGTCCACCACCCCAGGGGCTTGGAAGTGGAAAGTGGTAAGGACTCCCATACTCCACAGGAAGAAAAATAGGGGGTGGGGGGTAGAAATAGTGGTGAAGAGTCTGGAGGGAAGAGTCCATGAAAATATGTAAATCCAAATAAGGGGAGGAAGTGGAACATCCACCAATACCAATGTGTAAGCTTTGTCAAACCACCAATGTAGATCATGTAAAGGGAAGGAGGAAGAGAAATAGGAGCCTCTAATGAATCCTACGCAAGATTCCATTGGTCATGCAGAATCCACTGAAGAGACTGCATATGTGCTCAACCCAAGGGGATAAGAGCTTCCATGGAAGACCACATCCCAGAAAGCAATAGAACCTCACAAACTGTAATAGAGGGAGCAATAAGGGTGTGGAGAACTGAAATCTCCATCGAATGAATTTGAAGCAGAGAAGTTTGGGTCCAACTGAGATAAGTGTTAAAAAAAACACCCAAATGAACAAGATACTGGGTAGGTATAAGAAATGACTTCTCCAATTTGATTAACCAGCCCACATGGGTGACCTCCTGTTCGGAATGAGCTAACTGAAGCCAGTCACCCATGTAATGATGGAAGTGCAACCCTTGAACATGTAAATGTCAGGCAAATGCTTTGACTACCCAATAAGACATACAGGACCCAAGCAAGAATGAAGAGCTGGGTGGGAAACTGATAGACTACCCCATGATGAACAAACCAAAGATAGTGTCTCAACTGACGAGATATCGGGATATGCAGGTAAACACTCGCAATGTATACCTTGGTCATCCACAAACCCAGAGAAATAGCCCACCTGAGGATGAGAAAAGACCCCATGGTAAATCGGGGTAGAACCAAAAATTGATTGAGGTGGAACAAATCAATCACAGGCTGCCAGTCGCCAGTTTTGGGTATTACAAACATCCTAGAATAAAAACCTGGAGAAGGATGATTGACAGGCTCAATGGCCTGCTGGGAGAGAAGATCTTGGACCACCTCACATAGATACTGACTATTGGTAGGATCCTGAGGCAATGGAAAGGAAATGGGTGTCTGAGGTAACAGAGAGGAAGGAAATTGTATGAGAAGTCCCTCAGACAAAACCCAAATAACCCACAGATCTGTGGAGAAAGGTCACCTAAGGGGAACAAAATTGGACAAGTGAGTCCCCACTGGACTGGAAACCACTGGGTAATAACCAGTACTGTTGGTGATGTGTCCATCTGCATCAAATAAAATGATGAGATGAGGAACCCCTGGAGGAAGGAACAGGCAACGGCTGAGGAGCTGGATGGAAAACAGTTATAGAGGCATGTCTACTAAAATCCTACTGCAGAGGAAATGGAGCCATATGCAAATCCTGGAGATAAGGAGGTAGTAAATGAACCTGGAACAAGACTGCATCCCTCCCCAGGAGATCCCAACAACAGAGAAACTACATATATAAGGCTACAGCCAAAGAAAACAAATGTGCCAACATAGAAGTAATCAGGAAGAGGCAATCTCTCAAAAAATCCTCAGGATCTCTGTGGATTGCCTCTGAAAGGAGGTAGATAGTAGACAAGTACTGTAGGAGAATTGATAAAGCAAGATGAAGGTGGAAACAGAGGAGGGGAACGAACATGAGCACAATCGATTTCATAGTCAAGAAACGGACATTCAGCCTGATGGTAGGCTAAGGCAAACTGTTCCAAAGCTCTTGGAAGGCGAGACATTCTGGCAACTTCAACCATTTGAGAAGCAAACTGCTCAGCATGAACCCTTATATACAGGGAAGGGAAGAAAAACAAATACTGAGAGGAGGAGAGATCATGTAACAAAGAAGGATGGAGATCATATGAAATTGGGGAAATGGATAAAATAGAACACACCTGAGAAATCATGTCTAAAAAAGCCACATTAAGCCTAGCTGATTCCACAATAGTGGCATGGGAAGAATCAAATAGAGGGAGTCACATGTGTTAGGAGAGTGTGTTGCAGTCTTAGTGGTGGAGGGGTGTCGCATGATGATTTGTATGCGAGATGAATTTGAATCAGCCATGGGAGCTCAAGGCTTGTGGCATGCAAAAAAACGTTTTGCATATAGAGGGCAGCACAGAACAAGAATAGCTATTTATGTGAGTGGAGTTAATGTACCATATCAGAAATAGGAGTTATAATAAAGGGTAATGATCCATATCATTACATTTCCTAGTCTTCTTATACCATAACACTAACTACATGTTTTTTTATCAATAAAGTTCATGTACTGTTCGTATTTTCATGCATCACATGCTAGTAGAATGAATAACAGACTTATGTTACATGTAAAAACAACTGGCAGAAAAGTCACTTTACTTTCTTTTATGTAAAAGAAAGTATTATTTTCCATTTCATATGCTGGGATGCTGTAAAAAAATTACTACATAAACCTCTATAAATAAAGTATTAAAAATATATACATTGTATTCCAAATTTTACAATATGAAAAAAATAGCATTTATATATTTCTTATAAAATTAAAGAAAAACTGTTAAGACCTTTTTTGAGCTGCTGAAGATTTTCTTTGAACGCATAGCTGGTTGATTAACTTTCAATTGCATAGATTCTTTTGGAAAACTCTGGCCAAAATTGTGTAACTTAGTTGTATTTACACTTTCTGAAACACTCTGGTCAAAGGTGTCTTGAATGGTAATATCTTGAAGATTATTTGAAACACCCTGACTAAAAGTCATGAGTTTGGGTTTATCTTGAAAATTCCCAGAGGTATCTCTTATGAGAAATTCTTCTTGAGGTAAGCTACTTGTAATAGTTTCAGAAACTTTGCTGTTCTTGGTTGTTTCATCTCTGCAGTCACCTGATGAAGCCTTCACGTCCAAGGAATGATGCGGTTCACAAGTTATTATTACCGGTTTTACATGTTTTTGAGAATAAGTATGAATAACTGGGGGCACTTGTTTCAATTTTGAATTTACAGAAGTTTCATTACACGTAAACATAATCAACTGGTTGTCTTGAGAGTCAAAGGTTGAAGGAGGTATGTCAATGTTCTGGTCAAAAATACCACCCAAGTAATTTTTGCCCATTCTCACTGATTTTCTCTTTATAACCAAATCCTCTTTAAGAAAGTTGTCAAAATCATCATTTTCTGAGATGTTTTCACACACATTAAAAGAAGCACTGTCATGTGGTATATTTGTGGTGAGATCTGGTTGAATATTTTCTGTTGTTGCTTTGGGAACAAGGGTAGTCACATTTTGATGCATTAATATATTTGTATCATCAAAGTTCTTAACAGAGATTATTTTTTTGGTAGTATTTCCAAGGGAAAGTGCATCAAGTTTTAAATTTCCACCTTCTAAATTACACTGGGGTTTTAGGGTTAAAAATTCATTTGTTTTGAATAAAGATCCATAAGTTTTCAAACCACGATCACTACTCTTAAAAAATTTTTTTGGTCTTGTTTTATTACTTTCTACTTCGGTCACATTAGAATTTACAGGACATAAATTACGTGATGCTGAATGTAATGCAATTTTGGAACTAAAAACAGATGATGAAAAATGTGGTTCTTTGCTGAAGCTAAAAGGATCAATTTCTCCACTTGTTCCAGTTGATTCTATTCTAGGTTTTTTTAAGATATTAAAATCTTCAATGGGACTATCAGAATGTCCATTTAACTGAGACTTCCGGAGTGAGGTAAATGATGTCATTCCCCACCGTCTAACTGATGTCATTGACACTTTTGCTGTTGAAGGTTTGTTACAACTGTCAGATAAAAGCTGGTCAAACTTTATGCTAGATTTGCACTCCTGTTTTTGGCTATACGTTTTAGTGTCCAGTCTTGACATCTTGAGATCTTTAAAATCTGAAATTTATAAATGATTCTGTAAAACATTTTCAACAGCTCATTCTAATGCAACTAAAGAAAGTTTGAGTTTAAAATAAAAGAACAATACACCAAAATTATAGATAGAGCTTGGTCAGAAATCAAATGATTCTTAGCAATACAGTAACAAAGAGAAATTTTCTTTGCATAATGAAGGAATAGTTAACTAATTGCACTTTTCAGCATAAGAACATCATGGTATGAGAAATAAAAGTGAGGTAACTCTGAAACAAAACCTATGATATCTCTATAAATAACTCAGTGTGACTGCTTCAAAATCATTTACATGTGGATATGCAGAAGCGTGAGGTAGAAGGCTAGTGGCAAGTACTGAAAATATGTGCCAATAGAAGGCAGTACTAATTGATAAAAGCTATTTTGTGAGGAGAGGTAAGATATAGTATCAAAATTAGACACTTTAAGTAGTAAAATTATCATGTCATGACATATAGAAACTTAAGAGGTTTTTTAAGAATTATAAGAATTAATTGACTACAGAAAAAACAAAAAAGTAAAAAAACAACAACAGTAAATTATCCATTATACTGATGAGTATAAACAGTTACATGTTACTCTTACAAATTATAAAATGTATTGCAATAAATATGGAGCAAAGAAAGTTACCATTCAGAGCATTTATTAAAAAATACATTTACAATCAAGATTACATGAACAAATATGGCATCTATATAAATGGATAAGGTAGTTACTGCTAGGAACATTACATCTTACATCCATGTTTATACCACAAAGTAAAAGACAAATTCTTTAACCACAGCAATTTTCTAAGTACAATTCATCAATTTCATAACAAAAAAAAGAACAAAGGATATATTGATAATAAATTTAGAGTAAAATAAAAGGTTATCATAATAAATAAGTTTAATAAGTTATATAAAAATAATATACAGTGTAGAATAAAAGTATTTACCTTAACCAAGATGATAATTTAGGTTGATTTTAGAACTGCTTAGCAGTATGGATGTCCAAATTCAAAGATGTAAAAATATTCTCGAATTGAAACCCAACCTATCAATATAAAATAAAATTAGAAATAACCTAACAAGTGCATGTTTCCTGTATGAACTTAGAATGTTTCATTATGTTAAAATATATTATATTTACTACAAAACTAACATTCATTCTATTATCCTATAAAAAAATTAAAATTAGGACAAGAATTAGTTTCTCGTTAGTTCCAACCTATTGATTTGTGAAGATTAAAACATATTAATGTCACAATGATAGTATCTTAGCAAATGTAGCAGTGCTTGTAATATGAAAATTATGGTTATTTATTTAACATTATTAATTTTCTTTTCAGAATTGCATACTATCAACTATGAATACTTATTAATAAATGTATATTCTTCACATTACAACATCATAACAAGAGTATCTACAATTTTGACATGACAGAAAACAATTTGTTTGTACAGATAACCACTGAAATTTTAAAATCATCAGTAATTAAGCTATATTGTGAATGAGGTATATATATTTCAGTACAAAAAACATTTCTGCAATACAATGTCAATCTATTAAATACTTTTATGATAAAGTTATTAAGCAAGTGGTGTTTATTTCTGGGTATAGTGACTGACTCATTAGTATATATACAGTTGCCTTGAGCTACTATTCTTGTACTGAGGACATAAATACAGACCGTATGACAGTTCATAGCAATTCAGCCTCTAATATTTTCAGTTACCACCAGAGTAAATGTAATTTTCCAGGCTAACAAAAATCAGGAATTTAAGAAACCTACCATCACTTAGACTTTAACCCATAACCTTTAATTCACACTATTGCTATGAGACTGAGACTTCACTAAATGAGCTCATTATGACTGAAGCTCTCATCCTGATTGTTACAATAAAAAAAAGGGGGTAAGATAACTCCCACCAAACTAGACTCATTCAAGCCCAGGGTTCCCTCCTTCAAAAACAATAAATCTGAATAAATCCTGTTGACCTTATTTACCAAGAAAAATACATACAGTTAAGCACATAAACAAGTCCAAACTTTAAAAGTAAAACATGTCACTTACAAAAATAAACAATGTACACAAGAATATGCAGGGAGATAGAGACCATTTGGCCTATTGATGTTGTCCCTCATTTATATTAACCAACCAAAATAATAAAACCATAATAGGTGCACATGTAAGCCTTCACATCTATGTACTTATCCACTGAAAATTTAAACTATTTCTAAGACCACCCACTCATGACATCACCAGAAAAACCAGCTTACATGTAGAAACCTAACTAAAATAATAATTTTCTGGCAAAGCAAGTATGCAATTAGAACCAAATAAATAAATAAATTTGTGATAGAAAAAGTCTGCATCTGGATTTCCATGGCTTAAAATTGACATTTTCCTTACCTGAAAATGCATTTCAGATATATACTTACTTCTCTGCACAACAAAGAGCTATTACTTTGTACTATTGCTGAGAAGATTTTTGTACTTATCATAAGCTTTGCACAAAACTTTCACCCCTACATATATTAATGTGGACTGCATCAGCCTATGATGTAATCATCATTAGACTATAGCCCTCTACCAATAGAAGGGCAACACATTTTCCATGTGTAGTAATCCTCATAAGCACTAGAGTTTGAACAACTGCCAACTCTTGATGTGGCAAAAGAAATACATCAGAAGTGGGTAAGAAGGATGGGAGGTAGTACAAAAATGTATCTATCTGAAATACATTTTCAGGTAAGGAAAATGTTAATTTCATAAATGTTTACTCATTTTTCTGCACACAAAGAGCAAAAATCAAACAATGATAAGATGGTGGAGGGGCAAGTGTAGATAAGGACATTTAAAACAGGATCTCCTTTCTGAAATCACAGCATAAAAAAAAGGGAAAACTCACTGAACATGTCATCCACTAAGGGGGGTAGCCTAGTGGGGCATCACTCAGTGAGAGACCATATAATTCTTGTGCAGGGAATACTCTTTGCTCATTAAAGGTGATAGAGCAAAAAGGTACTGTGAAAAAAGTATTCTGCAGTGATAAAGTGTTGCATTGTTGGGCTGTATGGAGGATTGCTTAACTGGCTGAAATATCCCATGCAGTTGACAAAACATGTATGTACAGTGTGGCTATGGTGGTACAGTAGTGGAAAAATTCTTAAAAGAAATAATCAGATACAGAATGGGATCATCCCAGACCCACATCCATGAGAACACAAGATCTATTCAGCTGGTCTAACCATTTGGAATGGTCTGATTCTGATTGAAAGGGTGGCATGCACTATACTTCCACATAAACAGCCTAATCCTACTTCCCATTGAAGAGTACAACAACTAATTCTCATATATGTGAAATTATGCTGACCAGAACGTGAACTCTCCATAGTGATCTCCTCGGGCTTGGTAATGGGGAAGTAACGATACTACAGTTACTCCATAGATGGAAATTCCCATATAGCAAAGTGACAGAGAGGGTCTCAGACCAAAGAGAAATAATCATATCTACATAAAGTCCTCAAACTGATAAACTATACAACAAGTTACTACAAGAAAGAACAGTAGGTGTCAACCAGGTATGAGGGTAGGCACACACCTGATGCTGTTGTTCTTGTTTTCCCTAGAATAAGGCTTGGAAGAAAAATTTGTGTGTGTGTATATATACATATATACACTGTTGAAGCAGTCTTCTGAAATACCCTATCTCAACAACAGGCACTCAGCAAGGGCAGATGGGTGTAACACTTGTTGTTATGTTCCACTCTTTACAGAATTCAGGAGAGAGAAGTATTCCCTGTGAGACAACACTTGCCATGTGGTGGTTTCCACCATTTCCATAAGGAAGATATAGAGAAACAATAAGGTAGTTGATAGACCTGCAAGAGAAAGAAAGAAAGAAGTAGCAACTCACCAGTGTAGAACCGCTGTGAGGATTGGAGAATGGCAACTGGAGGAGGAAGAAAACCAGGAGTAGGTGAAACTGCAATCTAGGGTAAGTAATGTGATATGAAAGTATTGAAGGTTGTCTACATACCCACCTGCACGACCTCAGCCAGGTGACAGCAATGGCTAGAGGTAACAGAAGCCACAAGATGATGAACTTGATGGAAGGAGACAAAAAAGATGAAAAGTGTCATCAGCCATAAAAGAATACATTTGTCAGATGAGATGTATAATCCAACCAGTCAAGGTGAACTATAAGTTACTAGAGGAGAAGGTATCATACGGAAAGAAAGGTGATTGTTGATTGTCATGGAAGAGGGAAGTACAAGTGAGATAAAAACAAAAAGCCCATACAGGACAAAGAAGATCAATGGAGGTCAGAGTGACTGTACAGGGAAGAATGGAGAAGTTTGATTGGAAGAAATATCTGATCCTCCTCCTGAGTAACCCAAGTTAAAGGAAGGAAGGAGTGGTCAGGTACTAATATGAACCTGTCTCCGTGGTAAAGAATGCTGATGTGCATGGTAAAAATACTAAAGTGACAGTTCCTGCAAACAAAAAGAAATATGTTCTAGAAGAAAGATGGTTTAAACAAGACATGTGAGAGCCCTAAGAACTAAACAGAGGTTCCAACAGTCTAAAAATTTTGTTTTCAAACACTGATATTCATCATTCTTGAAATAACATAATACTTAACTCATCTTTTCAGTTTGCTCTCTACAAAATACTATCCAAAATATGTCAAACTATTTAAATTTAAAGTAATAAATTTCAATGTCTCCTTTGATATTAAAACATACAATAATTAAAAATGCAACTAGCTCACATTACACTTATTTTGACAGAGTTCGTGTTAGTTTTGAATCACATATTGATTAAAACAAGTTTTGTAAATTAAGCTAAGTGTAAAAAAAATAAATTAATATCTAGCAAAGTATCAATCTTTTAGGGAATAGTTGATCCAAGAAAGGGCAGCACTTTACAAAATCATTCAGAAATATCTGGAGGGATAGACCAACACATTCAAAATTATAAGTTTGACATTTGCTTTGTTATGATTCAGCAACCCACTGAATTTAATCATAACTGAAATTTCAAATTAGACAATGTGAGATGGTTTTATCATTAAACATTCTAGTTATTCATCAGCAACTTAATTTTTGTACAAAATCTTAGATGTTATTAACAGGAAAACTGAGAAATTAAAGGAAAAACAATTCACAATTTCTTTCTTGTAACAGCATTTTTTTGAAATCATATTTGATGTTTTCCATAAGATGACAAGGCTTTTCTGATGGTTTGTCATTCATCTTCTCTAATTTCAAGGGCTGTATTAAGGTCATTCAGAACTATGAGTGACATGGTTATTTCTTTACGGCTGATCAAGGTCACCTCTCACTAGAGGTGGTTTGATTAACTCGAGTACCTATGATCATTGAGTAATATCATGTAATGTCATAAATATAATCAACTGATGTTTCCAATTATTACTGGTTTTGATTATTCCAACTATCAAATACTCAAAATTTTGATTGTATTGATCAATATCATGAACATAATCAACTAATCAAAGTTAGTGTTTCCAACTGCTAACATTTTTGATAATTCCAATTATCCAGTGACTGAAATATTGCCATTATGATTTTTTCTTTAATACTTTTTATTAATTCAAGTTTGATCAATTTAGTTTATTAGTATCAGAACATACAAAATAATAAATGAATCAAAATTAAGGTTTCTGATTGTTTTCATTTATTCCACATATTTAAGTAATCAAGGGTTTGTCATAATGTTTGTTATCAAGCTCGAAGTTACAAATTAGGCTACCTCTGATCTGCCCACCACACATATCAAAACCAAATTTCGGTATTTTTTTATCCAACCCATGTTAAAATAACTGTTTTTTTTTTTTTATAGCCATCTCATGTTAGAATAATCAACTGGTTGAATGGATTAATTAATGAGACTGTCCATTAATAACCCTGCTCTACCTCTCTCTCTGGCTTTGTAAATACATAGGTAAAAGCAAATGGAACTAAAGATGCAACACAAATTTAGAACTGTTTGGAATTAAACATTTAAATAACACTGTGTCTGATAGACACTTGATTTGTACTTTTTGACTTTTTCATATTTTATCCTAGAATTAAAAAATTTGTCAAAATGCCAATTTTTCTTTTGGTTTTTTTTTTCTAAGAAAATGCCATTTTTATGACAAAAGTTTTGTGAAAATATTGTTTATTCTTCAAATTTTGTAAAATTATCAGAGAATGGTACAAATTGGCACTAGACGAAACCCTTCAATATCAAATTACAAATATTATGAAACCAATATTGTGGAGATTAATATAAAATGTTAACCTACATTTTATTTATGAATATTTATAAACAAAATTTAAATTATTAATGTTTTATAAATTTATCTGAAAAAACTAGCTTAACAATTACACTATCATTTACCTACCTCGTAGTCTAACTAATTAAAAATTCATCACTACATACTTTTGCTAACTCCATACAAGAATGTATGGCAAGCCCACTTAACAATGTTGGCAGATCATATGTATGATATTAAGTATTTTAATACATAATACACCCTTAAATATAGAATTGTTATGAACTTCATAGTGAAAGTATGATAGAGTGTATGATAATATGTCAAACCCACCCTTATCTGCTTGAATCAGTGCTGATGAAGTACTATTGATATTTGCAAACTGCTTGACAATAACTGATACAGTATGATTTGGATTTAGTGAAGTGTAATTTTTCATTAATTTTACTTATGTCATAACAAATCAGAACTATGGTAAGGATTTTGTAATACTTTGTTATTTATTTGCATTCAGAAGAACTAGAGAATCAAAAACTTAAAGTCTTATTGATCCTGCATCAACAGAAAAAAAAACCTATATATATATATAAATGTTAATAAGAACTATTGGGTGATGAAACTTGAAGTGACAATACTTGAAAGTAGAAGAATGTATATGTCAACCACATTATATCTGCTATACCTACGGCATGTTACACACACACACACACACACATACATACTCATTCACTCATTACCACTGTCTTAAAACAAATGTCAATTGAGACTTAATTCTTAATCTTGCTAATCTGAGGTTAATCTTGACTATACAAATTGTGGCAACATCTACTACTGGCACTGGCATACAATAATGTATTTTGATATTATGACAAAATCTGAATAGTTACATGTTCATACAATATGTTTAATAGTTTCTTTGCAGAAATTTTGTTTTTAAGAAAGTGAAGTTTTATATTTCAAATCAATGGTCATTTTCTAGTCACATTAACAGTGTTTCAATGAACTTCACTTTTTCTGCAGTAAGAACTGCCACTACATAAATAGCATTAACGTTTTAGCTTACTAGTAATGTTAAGTGCGCTTTGTAACATGCAAGATATCCAAAAATTGCAAAAATGTAACTAATATAGGAAGTTGTCAGTAGCACAATTATGGGTGCGATTTTTACATAATAATGTAATAAAACATGAAACACTTCTGCTAGTACTACACTTAAGCCTTAACCTCGCTTAACTAGTATTAGTAGCAAGTCATAAAAGTTATAACAATAGAACTACTACTAGTACTAAACTATCGTGTAACACTAAAGAATACTGAAAAATCACCACTGTAGTGCGCAATAAGCGTACCCTAATGTTATTAATACTAGTCTAAAGTACAGTATACTGTACTACAGGAATGATAAGATTTTTAAAAAGATGATTTCAATTTTACTAGACTTAGAAAGTAGACTTACCAAAACAACCACACTACAAACAGCATAGCCTGTAAAACGTAAATTTTCATTATATACTCGTTAACTGAATTACATTTAATCCCATATACAAGCTCATTAACACAATAAAATTCAACACGTCGCAAGGCACAAACACACCATCTTAAAAATTTATAAAATGATTATCCCATACTTAGGCTACCATAGAAACCTTAACAACGTTGTCTCGCTCATTACTTAAACTCAAGGTAGCACCACCATACCTGGGGCAAATGTTTATTTTCGTATTTTGGAGTTTATCTTTGTGAATATAGAATACATTATTAGCATAAAACAACCCTTGCAAGAACCATTTCTAAATATTCAAAACAAGGAAATTAATTATTCTATGTTGCTTCGATGCTTGCAAATATATTTTGAACATAATAGTTTTATTTATTTCTTGCTACCACGCTTTGCGAAATATTAACAAGAGAAAATCAAAAAGTGCAAGACTCACATAAAGCAAAATGGTTATATATAAACGCTATATTTAAGAATATATCAATTTTAAAAATGTTATTCTGTTTTGTAAAGTTCTAATATGAAATAATTGCATATGCTTAAAGAACAGCCACAGTTGTTTTATATATCTTAAATTTAATTAACTTTTATTTAATCCATTCAAATTAAATCAGAAAAATTAATATAAGTGAACCGGCCTGTACGCAGAATGTTTGAATGAAGGGTTTTAATTTGTGAGATAAAAAGCCAACACATATTTTTCAAAGCACAGTTAAAATTAAATATATTGCTTACTAACTGCAGAATGTATTCAGAAATAAACTTAGAAATTTAATCATGGGTTAATCCATTAAGTCCGACCCATTCCACCCTCTGTACTATTTTAACAAAAGTCATATCAGAAGAAAATTATGTAGCGGAATCGCTCAAAATCTGTTCAATTCAACTGGACTTTTTTGGTTTAGTTCTACTAGGAAATCTTGATGTAACAAAAAACATATTCGATATCATACTGTTTTAGACCTCAGAAGATCATTTCTGAGAGAATGAAAGCTGTGAGACTCAAAACAATCTAGTAGATAATTGACTGTGATTCTGTCTGTGCAATCATGTATTCGGTGTTTTCTTTTTGTATCATAATAAACATTGTTTTTGTTTCATTTTTCACAAACAAGAAAACTCAGTCAGGTTTTCAAATACAAACTATTCTGCATATTTTGTAGTCGACCCTCTGTTACTCTGTCTATCTGATACTTGTGTGGAATTCACGTGTGAATGACCATTCAGGTAAAACTAATTTATTCTTAGACTAATGAATAGCTCCACTTAACAACAGGAGGTTTAGTCAAGATACAAGGTAATATTCTATCCCTGAGTAAATGAGTCGTGAGAATGAATGAAATAACAAAGATGAACTAAATTGAAACACATAACACAAACACTGTGTCTATGTGTGTACTTGCTTATATTTACATGGGACAATAACTTTTACTGGATCTTCTATCTTCTTCTGGTAAGGGTGAATCCATTTACCAGACTATCCAAATCCAGCATTCCTTACTTCATAAGAAACGCTGCATTTACCCAGAGTGCTAAGCACTACCCAAGTATACAGCTATTCTCATTCAAACACAACTGAAGATGTAACCCGAGATATCACCTGAACAACCACTGAAGAACACTGCTATAAACATCCTTGCACAATTTTCAGTACTGCAGTAATATCACCCACGGACAGAACAGATATTATCTACATAAAAATAACAAAGGAACAATCAGTGAGGGTATCCTTGTGTTTTGCTTAGGCCGTTGAAAGGTATGCGTTAATATGTACATAGTGCAGATCATCCACACAAATGATCAAGCTTTCGATGGTATTCTTCTTACAAGTCTTGAGATCGGCAAAGTTATGAATAGTCGTCCCTAATGTTCAACATTAATATCAGTGTTATTTTTGTTTCATTTTATTTTCCTTTAACCCTCAAATTACCAACTTGTTTTTATATGTTCGCTAAAGGTAAGATCCACATATTGAACCATATTAAGTAATTTTTAAATAAAGAACTGACCGATAAATATTTAGTGAACTGTCTTATTCTCCGTGTAAAATTAGTAACTAGTGAGATTAATTGCAATATTGAGGGTTGTTTATGTGATTCATTTTCATATATTATTATGGACCTTTCAATTAACAAAGTTGTTATTGTAATTTTGTTAATACAAAGCTGCACAATGGGATATCTGCACTCTATCCACCACAAGAAACGGAACCCCCGTATTTTTGCATTGTAAGTCCTTTAACTTACCGCTAACCCACCTTGGAGAAGGGGGGCGACTTAACAAAGCAACTGACTCAGAATCAATTTAGTGCATAAATAGTCTGGAAAAATGTGTTTCAAAAAAGAGGTGGGATCCTCATTTACAATTATGTAGTTAATTTTACCAAGAGTGTGTAACATATAGTACACTGATTGATCAGCAGTAAGTAACAACGTCAATATCCGGGGTTCGATTCCCCGCATTGGACAGAGCGGAGGCCGCCCACTCTGTAGTTTTACTCAGGAAAAACACGTAACTTTAGCACTTTTAAAAGATCCACACTTCACGTATATATTCTGGGGGAGACAGTTTAATAATCACTAAAATATCTATTCATATTGTTGCGTCAGCGAGGTCACGTGACTAGTATCACGCCACCTCTTTCTAGAAATATCCTGTTCCTTCAAGAATGCCCTAGCATTTACTAGATATGCGTTAGTCTTGTATATATAAGACGTTCACAACGTGACGGAACAAGAGACAATGAGTAATTGAACTGCAGTCAGAGAGTGTGTAATTGAACTGAGTATTGTCGAGCACGTGAGACGTTCTTTGAGAATTATAGCGTTGTTGAAA